GTCCCCGAGGCCACCAAATTCTCTGCAGGACACACTGCCTCCCCACGGTAAATTCTCAGCTCAGGACCAAGATTATTTGACATCTCTCTCTCCACAGACTCTTCCAGGTGTGTCTCTGGTAAAAGATGAGTATCAGCAGAGTTCAGAAGAGTCACCAGCACTGTCTGAGCTCCCCCTGTGCCAGCCCTGTGGGAAATGGGAAGCCTCCCTGACTCATTCATCCCTGTTTGGGCTCCCAGGGAAACAACATGACTCAATTAAGGCAGGTTTCTGGAGCTTCCCTCTCTTCACATTTGCTTTTGCAAAGACCATTTCCTCTGGATTGCTCAACAGCCTGCACTAAGATCAGCTCCTGTGGCATTACCAGCATTCAAAGTTAAAAAAAACCCGAAACCCACTGAAGAAGTTTTCTGATCAGTGCTGATTCCCAGCTGTAAATTAAATGAAAAATGACTGTTTATGTCCATATCTTCATCTTCAGCTCTGTAACAGATTGAGGCAGTGAACAAATCAGTGTATCTGAACTGCACATCTAAATGGACTTGGGTTTGGTAATCCTGGCTAAGCTCATTTTTCTGTGAAATACTCCACATTCACGTCAAAGGCTCTGAACATTGTTTTCAATCTCTGATAAAGCCCTTAATTCCATATCAGTAGGAGCCTTAAGCAGGGCTTATCCTTCTATTCCATTACTTTCATGTAATCTAGAGGGCTGCAGACTCCCAATTTAAACAGAATCAGACAGAAATCACCCAGAGAACCACCCCAGGCCCGGGGCTTTTCAGACCCACCCATTCTCCGAGGAGGAAATATTTCAACCAGCGTCATGGGAATAATGAGGATGATCCCACCACAGAGGGATTGTCTCTTCCTGCTCCACCTGTGGCTGGAGGCCCCTCACACTGTGCTGCTCCTCAGGTGGACAAGCCCTCCTTGCAGGTGGCTGGAGCTCCCCAGGCATCGCAGCTCCTCCATTCCCGACGCCGGGAAGTCGCGGGAGAGGGAGGGAGAACATTCCAAATGTTCTGGGCCGGGAAGCACCAGGTCGACCTGTTCGATCTGCGTCCTTAAAAAGCCCACTCAGTCCCACATCCCAGAGGGAAACCTCCCCCACGCCTTCCCACCCCTCACAGCTCGAAGCGTGTCCTGGCCTCGTCGGCGATCATGGCGGCGATGGCGAGGGAGGAGGTGGCGGCGGGGGAAGGGGCGTTCCTGACGTGCAGGACTCGGCTCCCCAGGGCTCCGGCGCCTCCGTCGAACACAAAGTCATCCACCAAGTTGCCGTCGCTGTCCAGCGCCTGAGCTCTCACCCCCGAGGGGCCCCTGCAAAGCAAAGCCAAGGAGCAGCTCAGGAAACGCTTCCCTGCTGCTGGGGGAGCCAGGAGAGCGATTCCCTCGGGAAGGGGGGCAGTGAGGAAGGCAGAGGGTGGAGCCGAAGCCTTTTAGGGGATTGAACACTCATGAGGCAGAGCAGGGGATGTCTCACAGTCATGGAATCACTGAGGGTGGAAAAGCCCTCCCAGACCATCCAGTCCGACCTGTGGCCGATCCCCCCCAGCCCAGAGCACTGAGTGCCACTCCAGGCCTGCCTTGGACACCTCCAGGGCTGGGCACTCCAAACCTCCCTGGGCAGCCCCTGCCAGGGCCTGACCACCCTTTCCAGGGAGAAATCACTGCCATAAAACCAGGGCAGGCAGCCAAGCAGAGCATCTTCTCTGTCCTTCCTGGCTGACACAAACACGTCCTTGTCTTTCCAAGAAGGAAACCCTTTGTTTTGAAACACCAAACCTTGTCAGACATGAATTTCATGCCCCTGGTGTGCTGCCAGACCTGGGTAGCTCCTTCTCACCATGGCTGGGCTTTTCTTATTCTATGTTTTCTCCCCACAAATGTTTGGACAGTTAAATCCACCTCCATGTACTCAAATGCCTCCTCTTTCCTCACGAGCCTCTTCAGCCCCTTTGGCATTTCTAACTCCTCTGAATTAGTTTCTCTCTCCACACAGCAAGAAACCAAATACAATTTTATTGAGATGATCAAACTAAGTCACTTCTCACTCAGTAGAAACTCATACTCTGGTTTCCCCTCTGAATTTCATGAATGTTTTGCTTTCTCTGTGAACTCAGATTATGTTCAGGCTACTGAATGTGTCACTAGGATAAAAGAGGCCTTTTCTTCTTAGGGAATATGTCACAGGAGTTCATTTCAGGCTCTGGAGAGTGTAGGAAGTCACACAAATACTCATCAAACCTGCCTGTACACAAACAAATACAATACAGAAGATTTTCCTGTACAAAGTATCACAGGATGGTTTGGGTTGGAAAGGACCTTAAAGCCCATCCAGTGCCACCCCCTGCCATGGGCAGGGACACCTTCCACCAGCCCAGGTTGCTCCAACCTGGCCTTGGACACTTCCAGGGATCCAGAGGCAGCCACAGCTTCTCTGCCCAACCTGTGCCAGGGCCTGCCCACCCTCCCAGCCAGCAATTCCTTCCCAATATCCCATCTAACCCTGCCCTCTGGCAGTGGGAAGCCATTCCCTGTGTCCTGTCCCTCCAGGCACTCTGGAGATAGTCTCTCTCCATCTTTTCTGTCAGCTCCTTCAGGCACTGGAAGGCCACCATTAGATCACCCCAAAACATCTCCTCTCCAGGCTGAACAATCCCAGTTGTCCCAGCCTTTCTCACAGCAGAGGTGATTCATCCCAATGATCATCCTGGGGCCTCCTCTGGACAGGCTCCAACAGCTCCATGTCCTTCCTGTGCTGGGATCCCCAGAGCTGGAGGCAGCTCTGAGCTTTGGTACCATATTTTGGTGCGGGGAGGGAGAAAGCCCATGCCATGATCCCCCCTGTTAAAACAAGAGATTCAACAAGGTGTTCCTGACGGGAAAAAACTTCCTTTACCTGAGCACGTCATGGGTGGTGACCTCAGGGATGAACCTCTGGAGCTGCTTCACCTGAGCACTGAGGGAACAGGCTCTGTACATCTCCCCCACGCCGTAGGACACGTTCCTGAGCACGAGCTTCCACAGCCCCCTGCAGGGAGAGAAAGCACTGCAGTCAAAACAAACCTCCCCCCAAAATGTCAGAGAAGGCAGCAAACGCAACTGCACAGCAAGAATTCCCATTCCCAGCACCAGGGATCCCATATTCTTTCTGTTTGAGAAATATGTTTGCCCTTGCCTGCTTCAACAGATCTTTTTTACAGGGATGGAGCATTGCCTTTACATTCTCTGGGAATGAACTGTGAACTCCAGTCCTGGGAATGTTCACAACCAGGTTGGATGAGGCTTGGAACAACCTGAGTTGGTGGAAGGTGTCCCTGCCCATGGTAGGGGGTGGAATGGGTTTTAAGGTCCCTTCCAAACCATTCTGTGATTCCATCATTCCTCCATCCAGCATTTTTCTCTGGTCCAGTCAAACGCCAATGGAAGACAGACACGACACTTGAGATTTTTCCCCCCCCAGTCATCCTGAAAAGTTCATCCCACTCCTAAACCCCTCAGCTTTCAGTCACTGGATCTTGCTGTGTCTTTGCAAACCTTGTTTGCTTGCTCTGCTTTCCTCAAGTCTTCCCCTATAAAATTCCATAGGCAATGACGAAGGTGCTTCCAACCATTTACTGAATAAACTGAGTTAAACTGAGCTGTTTGACACAAAGCTCTTTTCCACTGCCCTGACCTGTTTTTCAGCTTTTCCTTGGATCCTCCATAATATTTTCAGATTGTTTTTCAAGTCTAGTTTCCAAAAATTGAGCACTTGGTAATAACCAACCATTCCTACAGATCACAGAATCCCAGGATGGTTTGGGTTGGAAGGGACCTCAAAGATCATCCCATTCCATCCCCTGCCATGGGCAGGGACACCTTCCACCAGCCCAGGTTGCTCCAAGCCCCTTCCAACCAACCTTGGACACTTCCAGGGATCCAGGGGCAGCCACAGCTTCTCTGGGCAACCTGTGCCAGGGCCTGCCCACCCTCCCAGCCAGCAATTCCTTCCCAATATCCCATCTATCCCTGCCCTCTGGCAGTGAGAAACCACTCCTTTTGTTCTGTCCCTCCATCCCTTCTCCAGAGTCCCTGTCCAGCTCTCTTGGAGCCACTTCAAGCACAGGAAAGGGCTCTGAAGTCTCCCTGGATCCTTCTCTTCTCTAGGCTGGACACTCCCAGCTCTCCCAGCCTCTCTCTGTCCCAAGAATCCTCTGCAGGTGTTTTAATTACACTGTCTGGGCTGATTAAAATATTCCAGTGCACTGGACCAAAACCATTCCTGCAATAGCTCCACCAGCCCCTTCTGATGAGCAGCCACATTCCCAGGCTGGCTGGGACATGTCCTGCTGGTTCATGAAAACTCAAACAGAAATCACACCAAGTCAAACGCCTTGGAAAGAATTCCACCCTTGCTACCTTTAAAAACTCAGGGAAAGCAGGATATTTAACCAAGAACAACTAGCCAAAGCTTCACCTGTAGGTCACAGCATCGACAAAGTCTGCAGCGCTGAAGTCAAACAGGTTGTAGCCCTCTCTCTTGAAGGCCAGCACCGCGTTGGGTCCAAGCCAAACGCTGCCATCCATCCTGGGAGTGAAATGGAATCCCAGGAAGGGGAACCTGGGGTTGGGAACCTGCAGGGGGATACAGGAGTTAGTGCAGCTGCCACAAAAAGGGTGAATTGGCCATTTTATTTCCAAGCGCTGCCACCGAATTGGAGTCACTGAGCCACGGAGTTGTCTCCTGCGCTTGTCTTTCTGCTTGTGAATTGTGCGGTTGTAGCTTGGAATCTAATTGAAATTCTGAAGGGCAGGGCCAGGTAAGGCTGAATCTCAGGAGGAAAACAAACAACAGGGGGAAAAAAAATAAATAGAAGTCCACGTGATTTCTCAGGGTTTGAATCAACCCACAACAAACTCAAAGACGCACTAATGCTATTCATCAGCAGCAATTAAGCTGCAATTAAAAGGGGCTGCACAGTATTAGGGAAACCTCACAGGTCTGTATTGCTCCAAACAAGCTGCACTCAGCAGGTCTGATTAATATTAATAAATATAATAATAAATGTAACAATAATAATTATTATAAATATAAATAAACATCTGCAGTTTCCTCTTTTGTTCCATTTCCTCCCTCCCAGCCCAAGACAGGACCCTGGGTGATTCCCAGGTGAGAAGAGGTCGGACAAACACCCAGTACTCAGAGCTCCACACTTTATTCCTAAAGATCCAAGCAAATTTAAACTTATCCTCAGAATGGCAGTATTTCAGTGTACTGCAGAAAATGCTGCCCCAGGAATTCCCTCTTCTTGCTTTATAACTATCCTTTCTCTCTGGGATTCATCCCATTATTTGTCTACTTTAGATGGTAGAAGGGTTGGCCTTTTCCTCCCATGTCTAATTTTTTATGACACAAAGCAAAGCTGATTAAAAAATGAGGCTGGGAGGAAAATATCTAAGTCAGGTATTAGTTAATAATTGGGTATTTAACTGGTATTAGAACTGATAATATAACTGGCATTAATAAAATAATAATAAATAAATAATTAAGAAATTATTAATTGGATATTACCTCACAAGATTAAACCCTTTGTTTCACCCCAGAATCATTTAGTTTGGAAGAGACCTCCAGTGTCCCCTGTGAACTTCCTTGGATCACAGTCAATCCTCTCGCCCAGATTATCGATAAATACATTAAGCAGGACTGTCATAATTATTTAAATAACAACAAATTATTTAAATAACAAACAATTATTTACTCATTGGGACTTTTGAATCCCGCCTACAGATTTATTTTAGAATGCAGAGAAAGAAGCCAGAGTTTTCCTGGACATGTGGCTTTTGTTATGTTTCATTTTTTTTGCCCTATTAAATAAATGAATAAATAAATACATGAACCAACCCCCCAAAACAAAACAAACCACCTGACAGTAACTCCCCACGTGGCACTTCTATGTATTTTCCTTACAGATTAACCCAAAAAATGCCGTTGTGTCATAAAACACCCCAATCTCCATCCGCGTGTTGTGGATCAACGGAAATAACCCCGGAATTTTGCCCCGTTCCTGCAATTTTAGCAGCTCTTGGAGCCCCCAGTGCAGGCAACACGTACCGGGTAAATATTCCCTCTCACCAAATAGCTCTTCTCTGGTTTCAGCACCAGATAATCCCCCCGGAACGGGACGATCCTGGGCTCGGGGCTGCAGCCGCTGATCTCGGACAGGCGGTCGGAGTAAAGCCCAGCACAGGTCAGGATGTGCCCGCAGGAGATCTGCTCCCCCTTTGGAAAACAACACACCAGAACAGGCAAAAATTCAATATATCTGCTAAAAAACGAGCTCAGGGAACACCCCACCCAGGTATATTTGGCTAATTAAGGCTGTTCTCTGATTTCACCCCACAGGGTTGCTTTTTCACGTCCAAAAATTCACAGAGAGCTGCTAAATATTTAAACACCTCATAATCTAATTAAATAAAATCAAATCACAAACTATTACCTATTTATTTAGCTCACAGTATTTGTTTTTAAATACTATGGGGTGTGGTTTTTTTTTTTTTCTTTCAACTAAAAATATTTGCATTAAAAATACCCAGTATTTGGTGAAGGAATTTTAACAGATTTTGGAAGCTGCTTTATAATGAAAAAGGAAAAACAGAAGTAAAAAACCAGCAGAACTAAATACATAAAATACTGGAAGGGTTTTGGTGTTGGTTTTGGTCCAGATATTCTTCCTTGAAGGTGACAACCACGTTTCCTGGGCAGCTCTGACTTGCAGGAACACCCCCTGTATGTGCAGCTGTTTTACATCTGTTTTTACATCAGCTCGTGGCTTCCTCATGCTAAAATGACAATAAAATGATGCTAAATCCCTCCTTATCGCTTTACAGATGCCAAAGCCCCAAAGCAAACAGGAAATTAGGTGCTTGTCACCAAATGGACAAGTCATAAAAGGGATCCCTGGAAGGACAGGGGTAAGACTGTGCAAATAAAGCAGATAAGGGACAGGTAAACACAAGTCAGGCAGCAGAGAAGTTACACTTAATTATTTTACATTATTATTGCCATAAAATTTGGAGCTGCTCACTGTTAGGAACTCATAGCAGCTGTTTTATTGCAGCAGTATTAGATGACAGTGATCATGTTAATGAGCAGCAGCTTTTCAACCACTTTTTGGAGATGATTAATCCACCAGGGCTCAAGAAAAAAAAAAATCTTAAGAAAAGGAGAAGCAGCTTCCTGTAAAGAATTCAAACTTCTGCTTCGTTCTTACCTTTTTGTTCCTAACAATGACTGGGTACTTCAGTCCTGTAATAAAAATTGGACAAGAGAAGGAATTAATGGAACAAGTAGCAGAACGAGCAGCTTGTCACCAGAAGGGATTTTTCCTCTGGAATATCTTCAAGTTATGGAACAACTACTGTTGTCACAACTGATGGTTCTGGACATAACTGTATTTATGAATCCATTTTTATTCTTCCATATGTGTGCCAGGACAGATCCAACGTGCCTTCCAGGCTAAGGAACACTCACTATGACGAGAACACACGTGCAAGATTCAGCTAAATCTCATTTTAATGGGAGAGAACAACCTTACTCCTCAATTTTACTGCTGTTTTCTTGCATCAGCTCGAAATGTTCCAGCTGAAGGGTGACCTGCTTGCAAATAAACCCCAAAGTGAGTTTGCTGAATACTCTCACTAACATAATCCCTAGGAGACAGAAAGGCTCAAAAAAGTAATTTCAGTTAAAACAAATGTGTTCTGAGTGAAATATCTGGTAGTAAATGGAGGGCAAAAAACCCGCCCTTGCCTTACCATCTGCACTTCCTGGAGAGCTCTCTTTAGCCATCTCCATGTTTGTGACTTCAAAATCCATCAGGATTGTCCCACCTGCTTCCTGGAAGTCTTCAGCATAGGACTGGGCCACTTGTTTGTAATTCACAATGCCAGTGTACGGAGAATCGAGGGCCATCAGACCCTGCAATGGCATGAAAGACACGGGAGGAGGAGTGAGGGCTGGAATATTCCACCTGGAATAACGTGCACTGCCGTGAGAGGGCAGTGCTGGGGTCTCCCCGCTCGCTCAGCCGGATCTTGGACCCTCAAAGGATGTTTTAATTAAGGAGCGGAGACAAAATGTTTACAAGATTAAAAAAAAAAAAAAAAAAAAAAGATAAAAAAGGGTTCTTTTTCACAAGCTGATTGGAAGTGTGGCAATTCCTTACCCTGCAGAAGGGCTCCTTGGCCTGGATCTCCTTCGCCCCGATGAGTTTGAGCCCCGGGACGTTGTTCTGCAGCCCCCTCTCGTACAGAGCCTTGAGCCTCGGGATCTCATCCCGTTCCACGGCCACAATCAGCTTGGGGAAAGACAACAGGAATTGTGTAAATCAAGTGATCTGATATTATTGCTGAGAAAGCACTAATATACTGAAGTTACTAACAGTGGGTAATATTTGCTACAAGTACCATGAGACTACAGACCCGAAGGGGAAAGAACGTGGATCTAAAGAGCCACTGGGGATGTTTCAAAAATAAGTAAAACCGAACTTAAAATGTACAAATCTCAGTCTCAGTAAGACAATAAAGGTATGTTCTGGGGACCCCTGTCCCCAAGTGCCACATCCACAGGGCTTTGAAATCCCTCCAGGGATGGGGATCCGCCACTGCCCTGGGGCAGCTGTGCCAGGGCTGGACAACCCTTTCCATGAAGGAATTTTTCCCAATATCCAATCTAAACTTCCTTTGCTGCAACTTGAGGATCATTTGATCAGAAAAAGCCGTTTCAGCCTCTCACATAAAATGATGAAATTCAAAGTTATCCCTGAGGGCCAAGACCTTGGGGTTAGGAGAGACAATCCTATGGAAAACAGCAGCCTAGTGACAGCTGAAGAGCCCTGAATGGAATTTTGGGAACAACTAGGAAAAGGATATGGGATAATAGAGAGAAATCTTATATTTCACTGCAAAAGTCCCGAGTCTGAGCACACCTGGAATGCTCTGCACAGCTCTGGTCCTTGCCTTGCACCCAAAACACACTGAACTGGGAATGGTTCAGAGCACAAAGGCAGGGTGGGGAGAGCCACGGAAAAGCTTCTCCAAGAGGAATGACAGCAGAGTAAGACTCAGCAGCTGGGAAGGAGGATTTGGGGGGAAGGAGGATTTGGGGGGAAGGAGGGGATATTAAATTATGTGCAGCTTGGAGAGTGTGAGCCCAGAGCAGCAGTTCCCCAGCTCCTCCAGCACAGGGGCCACGGGGGGAAGGTTGTAGCAGCCACTTCCAAAATGATGTCACTCCAGGTTGCTGATCTCTGGAAGTGCCCCTCAAAGTGTGCTCTGAGGCAAAAGATTTTAATGGCAAGACTCTTGGAAGAGAAATTCACTGAGAGTTACCACAGACACTCATGTTTTCGGGACAAGACCACAACCAGGCTTATGCTGCACATCACACAGCCTCAGCTTCCAAAGGTGAGGTGAGGACAGACAGGAATTCCTGTACCTTCCCACACTGTCTGTATGGAATTCCCTTCTGGTCACAGTACTGGTAGCAGAGGGCTGCACCCTGCACACACAGCCTGGCCTTCAGGGAGCCAGGGGTGTAGTAAATCCCGCTGTGGATCACACCACTGTTGTGGCCACTCTGGTGGTGAGCTAAAGAGAGAGGAAAATAAGTTATTAAAACACATTTGGTCACACTTAACCACTTCAGCTGTCCTGAAAAGTGGGTTATTTGAGGCCCTGACTTTAATCAGCGTTGCAAGAGATGCTCAAATGAGTAACTGCACGGCAAACACAGTGAATTCCTCCCCTGGTCTCAAAAGGTTAGAGAAACACTGACACAGCACGAGCTGGTTAATGATAATCCATCCCATCTTACAATGAGTTGGATCAACAGGGACAAAACCCCCCCAAAAACACAAGTTTTTCCTCCAAGAGCAAAAAAAATAAAATAAATAAGATATGCTAAGAATAATTTTGAGAAATCTGATTTTTAAAATTAAATGTATCCATCCCCTGGGGTTCCTTCAGCTCCCTGCAGGACCTGCCCTTGCCCTTCTACAACCTGCACCTGCTCCTTCCTCTGGTTGATCACCCTTCTTATCCCCTCTCCTGACATTCCTGCACTGCTGGAGCCCCAGCAGTCAGACCTGCAGCTCTCAGACAGTCAACATTAAGGATTTTTTAACTTAAAAGTCTGACATTAAGTTTAAAGTCTGAGTTGAAGTCCCAGCAGTGAAGCACAGACTGATGAAAACTCTGCTTTTCCACTGAAGGATGTGTCCTTGAGAGCAGAGTAGAAGGAATTTTTTTGTAAGGGTAAAGCCAGCGGTGCCAGGGAATGAAGATGCTGGTCCCAAGGGGAGAATCATCACGGAATCCCAGAGTGGTTTGCGTTGGGAGGGATCTCACAGCCCACCTCGTTCTACCCCCTGCCATGGGCAGGGACACCTTCCACCAGCCCAGATCGCTCCGAGCCCCGTCCAACCTGGCCTGGGACACCTCCAGGGACGGGACATCCATCACCCTCTTCAGTGACGAGGGCTCTCCCACAGCTCCCACCCCAAAAGCTGAGCCCTTCCCAGGGAAAACCCCGAGGTTTTGGCAGCGCGTGCTTGGGCACAGCCTCTGGAACGCCCGGCCACCTCACCCGCTCCGTACCCAGCTCCTTCTCCTTCTCCAGCACGGCGAAGGACAGCGAGGGGTGACGCTGGATGAGCTCCCGCGCTGCTGCCAGCCCCACGATCCCGGCCCCCACCACCACCACGTCGAAGGTGCTGCGGGGACACCGACACGGCTGTCAGTGGAGAGGGGAAAGGGGGTGTAGGGGATATGGGGATATAGGGAACACTGGGGACAGGGGATATAGGGAATTCAAGGGATATGGGCAAGATAGAGGATAGGGGACGGGGAAAAGGATAGAGAGTAGGGGTATGGGATAGGGAATGGGAGAAAAGGGGAAGAGGATGGATATAGGGGATATAGGGGAGAGGGGATATAGGAAATATACAAGATACAGGGAATATAGGAGAGCAGGGGACAGGGGAAAAGGATAGAGAGTGGGGAATGGGAGACAAGATAGGAAAAGGGGGAGAGGATGGAGAGAGGGGATAGGAATAGGGAAAGGGGATAGGGGATAAGGTGAGCAGAGAAAGGATATAGAGGATATAGGAGAGGAAGGGGAGAAGGGATATATACAGGAGATAGGGGAAGGCGATACAGGGGAGAGAAGTGAGGGGAGAGGGGAAGCGGAAAGGGAAAAGGAAAAAGATCCGGGAGCTGGATAACGGGGCAGGACGCGGTCCGGGGCGGGCTCTCACCTCGCGGCCCGGCTGTGGAGCCGCCACAGCGCCCCAGCCCCGCCCGGGCCCGCGCGGCCCCTCAGCCGCAGCGCCATCTTGGGGGCGGAGACACCGCCGGGCCGGGGCCGCCGAGCCCGCCGCCTCCTCCTCCTCCTCCTCCTCCTCCTCCTCCTGCTGCTGCCGCTTCTCCGCCTCCATCGCCGCTCCGCCGGGCCGGGCAGGACACAGCCGGCCAAGGTTCGGCCCTCGGGGCAGCCCGGGGGCGGTGACGGGCCCCCCCCCGCTCTGCAGCCGCGGGTCCCGCCGGGCGGACAGCCCCGGTCAGGCCTGGAGGGGGGCGCGGCCTCTCCCGTGCTGCTGCTGCTGCTGCGGGCGCTCCAAATAACATCTCTGTTTACTCTCTCTCTTCTCCAAGGAGGTGATGATGGTGCTGGGGAGACTCGTGAGGAAGCCGCCGTCGCCGCCGGGCAGCTGCAGAGCCTTCTGGGGATGGCTGAACGCCGTGTTCAACAAGTAAGAGTGAGTCGCTGGGCAGTGATCAGTTATCAGGTCCCGCGGACCCACAGCGCGGTTTGTGAAAGAGAAGAATCAAATCCCTGCGCTGCAGAGAACTTTATGCTCCTCTTTTCCGCCGGACTGCACGTGGGTGCTTGGCAGGGGGCGTTCCGTCCCTGCTTCCCATCCCAAAGCTGTGACCCTCCAGAGGAAGGTCTGTGCTGTGCCCTCTCCATGGAGTGGCCACGTGGATTCTCTCCCTAAATCCTGGGCTTCTTTGACCCCAAAAGGCATTTAAATCTGTAGCATGACCAACCCCCTCTACTTATTCAGAACAGCATCAAACCAACCCATCACTTACAAAGTGATTCAGCCACAGGAGGGTTTCAGATTTACTTTTAAAAGAGAAAACTCTTCTGAAACTTTCTCTGCCCATAACTTTTGCCAGGAGCTAATAGTTTTGCCTTGTGTCTTCTGGCTGTGTGGGAAGGGTTGTGTGTTGTAGCTGATTACTGAAACTAAACCAGACAGGAGCCTGTTCCAGGTCTCTGCCTTCATCATTCCTCGCCAGACTAAAAATGCATCCTTTTCCAGAACGGACCCAAGAGGTTTAACTATTGCTAAAGTGTGTTTTTTATGAAATACTGTAACTGCTGAGAAAAAGCAGGCTGCTCAAGGCAGTGGGGGAGTCACCATCCCTGGAAGTTTTCAAGAAACGTGCACTTGAGGCACTTGAGGACGGGGTTTAGTGGTGAACGTGGTGGTGGTGCTGGGTTGGTGGCTGGACTTCATGATGCCTTTCCCAGCCTTAACAACTCCACGATTCTATGAAAAGGATTCGGGAATGACATACCTGTGACAGGTTTCAAGATGTTTCTATGGAGTCGATGTTTGAGAGAGAAATTAGCAGTTGTAAAGCCTCTGGGAAGAGAAAGGTGTTTTCTCTCTCTCCCTACAGACACGGGAAGAAGCAATCGGGAGGGGTTAAGTCCAGTTACATTTGCTTTTTTTTTTTTTTTTTTTAATTGCCAAGGGAGTAACTCCTGCACCCCGTGGGTGCTCTCTGTGTCGTGGCAGGGTGGACTACGAGCGCATCCAGGCCGTGGGCCCCGACCGGGCGGCCTCGGAGTGG